CTATTATAGGTTGGAGGCCATCGCTACTAGTAGGTTGGAGGCCATCGCTACTAGCAATTAGGTTGGAGGCCACCGCTACTGGGGTGGAGGCCATCGCTATTAGGTTGGAGGCCATGGCTATTAGGTTGGACGCCATCGCTACTACCAGGTTGGAGGCCATCGCTACTAGGGTGGAGGCAATCGCTACTGGGTTGGAGGCCATGGCTATTAGGTTGGAGGCCATTGCTACTAGGGTGGAGGCCTGGCAATTTGGTTGGAGGCCATCGCTACTAGTAGCTTGGAGGCCATCGCTACTAGCAATGAGGTTGGAGGCCACCGCAACTGGGGTGGAGGCCATCGCTATTAGGTTGGAGACCATCGCTACTAGGGTGGAGGCCATCGCCACTAGTAGGTTGGAGGCCATGGCTATTAGGGTGGAGGCCATTGCTATTAGGTTGGAGGCCAGCGCAATTAGGATCCTTTTTTTGCTCCAGACGGACCGCCACGAATTCGTGAAGACCGCCAGGTGGAAGTGTTTGTCTGAAAGTGATCTGGTAACCAGGCGACCTCCTAAAAAGATCTTGAAAGATTCTAAATGGAACCCCAAAGCCTCGACAGAGGAAAATGGTCGAAACCACAGGCCACTTCTGAATCAATTCTCAGGTTCCATGCGGGGTACTGTAAGTGAATTCCGTCTAGGGAAGTGAATCCGGATGAAAGTCTTCTCAAACTCAGCTCTGAACACATCGGTTGACAGTTGACTGCCTTTCTTCCGCCAGGAAGGCTATTGGGAGGTTGCCGAAGGCCAGTGCTTTCCGCTTGTTTCACGCAGCACGGACGCCTCCGCGCCGTTGGGCCTCACATCGTTCGCAGACGTCGGGGAGAACTCCCGTGGCGCCGAGGCCGACAGGAGTTCATCTACACCGTTTGAAGTGACGGGGCGTTCTCCGTCCCAGCGGCTTCCACACCGGGCGTTTGGGCCGGGGCCCTTCGCGAGACGGCTTTCGCACCATTCAATGCACTGGTGCACTGGTGCGATCGCATCGTGTCAGCTGTGCAAAGAGGGAAGAAAAAAGGGACGGTCGAGGTGTCGGAGACGGAGCGAGAAGCGTCGAACCGAACGGGGCCACCGTGGCTCAACTCGGACGCTCGAAAGGACCGGTGTTCCGCCGGTCGTTCCGGTGTCGAAAGGCGCGTGTGTTCCGGGGTTCGTGGGATCTGGCTCCCTAGGTTCCTGGCTCATTGATTTAGTGATTCGAATCCCCAAGAACCATGGTCTTTGCCCAGAATCCGGGCCTGAACCCATGAGAAGGGCTTGGTCTTGTTAGGGTTCCGGACCCCTGCGATGGAGAGCCCAAGGGTTCTGAGATGTTCTACTTGAAGGGATTGCGTCTTGGCAGGTACTGATCCAGAGCTTCTCATCATGGTCCCTCCTGATCGATTGGCGGTGACCCTGTTGTATCAGACCTCGAAGAATATCAGGAAGTTCAAGGAGGACAGGACAGGTGTTTCACGAGAAAGAATGATGACAGAGAAGAGCTTGGGGGCGGTTTTGAAGCGGCCAAAAACAGCCTCTTCAAGCTGTCCGGGCAAAACCATCGAAGCATGTCTACAGTTTGATAGCCATGCCTGCGAGATTTCGTCAAGAAGAACGCCTCAACAAAAAAGGAACCAACCAGGGCCTTCAAGGGGTGGTTAATGGACACCCCTTAACAGCTAGGGGGCTATAAATACAGAAAACGAAGTTATGCGGGTGTGGTTTTTACGCGTTTTTGTGGTTTGTGTTTTTCTGCGTCTTTTTGAAAATGTTGGTTGTTTTGAAGAACGTGTCTAGCAAAAATGTCAACTTGTAATCTGTCAGATCTCTCATCAAGCTTTTGCAAAAATACTAGCTCTCATGATTCCCACGCAGAAGTCTATCAACCATCATCTATCAGCAAGTCCACGACATCACATCATACATCATCAGGTCATCTCCTCTATGAGGGGAATCTGGTCTCCAAGACCTCCAATCTGAATGAATCCTCAATCTCCAGCAACTGGGCCTGGGCCCGGACTTCTCCCGGGGGGGGGCGCCCAAAAAAAAGAATTGGTAGTCCAATTCCACGAGCAATGTTTTTTTTGGTTTCCCCCCCCCAGAGAGGAGCCCGGCAGGCCGGCAGGCCCAGTTGCTGGAGATTGAGGACTCATGGAGATTGGAGGTCTTAGTCAAGATCCCCCTCATAGAGGTGATGATCTGATGATGTATGATGTGATGTCCTGAACTTGCTGATAGATGATGGTTGATGGACTTCTGTGTGGCAATCATGAGAGCTAGCAGCTAGTATTTTTGCAAAGCTTGATGAGAGATCTGACAGATCAGAGCCATGCCAATTGGATCATTGCATATCAGAACATGGAGAAGGAATGGGGGTTCAGGCTCTACGCGGTGAGGGTGGATACCTATACTGTATGGTCTCAATGGTGGAGTGTGGAAGAGTGTCTTGATTTGATGGCTTAAGATATCCAATGAAAGAGAGAGAGAGAGAGAGATGGGCATATAGCTAGAGAGCATAGGAAAATGGAACTTCCAATGTGGGTGAAATGAGATGAGATGAGATTAGATGAGATGAAGCATTGGGTGCATCAAACAGCTGGCATTGGGCTTGTGGCTGTGCATAGACGCAACACCTGGGCATGAGAGATTGGGATCCTGACTTTGAGCAAATTGTATTGCTATACAAGCCATTGAGCAAATGCCCCAGACAGCAGCGGGTTTGTTTGGCCTCCAAGAGCACATGGGCACCATGTGAGAGGGAAATTTGCTTGGCAATCAATGATGGGGATGGGGTCCATGGAATGCCTGATGCAAATGGGTTTGTGTGCATGATTAGGTGGCCCAATGGAAGATCAGAACCATTTGGGTACAACATTGGTGGATCCTCATGATTCATGCTATTGCTAGAGCATATTTTTTGCACAATTTATTGGTTTACTTTTGGGTGGGTGTTGGTGAGGTCCAATGAGGTTTTGAGCTTGGGTGGCATCACGAGAAAGAATGTCCTTGGCAATGTTGGGTGAACATTGGGAGCATGCTGAGCATGCCAGGTTTGGTACAACCTGACTTCATGTATGTCTATGTGTGGGCAAGAAGGTTGGGGAAGAGAAGGTTCTTCATGAGCTTGGGAATGAGTAGTGGCCACACAGCCAATTCAGACCCTTAGTGTATCTATGGCTGGATCGTTCCATGGGCTTCATAAGGTTCTTTGGAAGATTTCGTCGTAGAAAGAGCCATTGGGTGAGAGCAGTGGAGATGAGCAGGATTGGTCCAATCGAACTTGTGGGATAGGATGTGAACTCCCAATGCTCGCAGAATGGTTCCCTATGACCCTGAGAATGAGGATGAGGCTTATTATGGGTATGGGCGTCAAGAAGGCCATGCAAAGCCCAATTCCAATCAGTCATCCAGGTCCAGTACTACTAAGCAAGTTTCTCAACTTTTTTTGGGCCTGGTGGGCACATTGTGTTTCAAGATAATGATCTTCTCTCCATTTCATAAAGAATGTGGAAGGAGAAGCCCATTTCATAAAGAATGTGGAGGGAGAAGCCCAAAAAGTGCTACCTTTGAAACAATGAGAATGCCTATGGGCAAGGAAGGGTAGAGTCGGATCCAGAGGTTGTTTAAAAAAAGAAAAGTTGGTTTTGTTTGGGAAACAGGAGCACAAGAACATATCTAGACCGCAACCGTGGAAACTCTTTCAAAACATTGCAAAACCTAAGAAAAGCACAACAAAAACGCGTAAAAACCACACCCGCATAACTTCGAGCTCTCTATAAATAGACACCCCTGGAACACTCCCACGCTCTTTTTGTCGTTCTCTCTCTCTCTCTCTCTCTCTTTGCTTCTGCTGCCAGGAGCAGCAGAAAGAGATCGAGGCAACTGGACAGAAGCTGAGCCCAGACTTGGTATATTTGAAACAGCGGGGTGTCTCAGCACGGGAAAGCAAGCCAGACATCGACCTGCTTGGCATGGTGCTTAGCATGAATATGCAGAACATGTTTCATCTATATGATGTTTCATCTTTGTATTTTTGTCCATGGTGCCTTCTATGGACGAGGTGCTTTTTGAGCAGCTTCATCTAGTCCCTTCAGCCGCTGCCATCTGCCGGGTCTCCCGTCGGTGCGTCTCGGACGATGGGTGGACGGGTCGGACGTCGTCTCATCCGTCCAGGTTTGTCGGCAACGCCTGTGGCACCATCGCTTGCCTTCATTGTCTTGGCAACAACTCTCAGGCGCACGCAGACGACTGAGACTGATGCGACAGATGCGTTCGGACGCGACTAAAAACGCTTCTCGAGCCGCAGAGAAGACACATGAAGACACTTGCTCGCAGAAAGGAAAAGACGTTCAGAGCCGTTTCGAAGGTTTGGTGAGGTCAAAAGCGTCAAAAGCCAGTTCAAAGCCCTGAAAAAGACAGCGAATGGGAGGTTCTAAAAGCTGCAGAGCAGCCAGCTTCAAGCAACATTGACTTCAAATACAGGGTTCAAGGATTCGAACCTCTTCGCCAGGTTCAAGGTGTAGCAACATCGTCTACCCCAAAACGTCTACCCCAGGAGCGATTGACATCCGACTCCGAGAGAAAGCACTGGGACCTGTGGGAGTTGGGCTACCTCGCCCAGACGGCGATTCTTCGAGGACATGGAAACCGGCCATACAAACCCCCCATATGAAGAGCATGTTCAATTCAAGTGGGAGGGTTGGATGGTCCGATTCTACATTAAGGTGAACCACATACCAGCACCACCCAGTTCGGGGTGGAGACGAATGGACAATTCCTTCACCCCGAACTCCGGGGGTGGAACATTCCGTCCCAAACCATGTGCGGTCTGCTTCGGCTCCCGAAGGAGCTGGCAAGAACGAATCCGTCCGAACTCGAAGCTGGACTTCTGGACAGAAAGGGGCTTAAAGACCATGGACCTAAAGGCGCCGTTGGGAAGGCCCAAACAAAAGGCCACCGTGTGTCTTCTGGGTTTCTGCCGGTGTCCGCTGGTCACAAGCAACAAACATCCAGATTTGTGCCGTCTTTGGAAAAGGATTCGTGCCGGGCCGTTTCGAAGATCCATATACACCGGTACCATTCGGTACCTAGAACCTGAGTCTGACCTCTATTTTGGACCACCATCCACCCAAAATATGGCCAAACTTCCTATCAAAACAGGGGTCAATTGGGTTTCAGGCCTATATAGCTTCATACTAGCACAGATCCAGCTATATAAGATCCGCCATCTCTTTCCACGTCCCAAAAACCGCCACGGCCTTTTTCGTGGTGTTCTCGACTTCCGACCCCCCCTCTCTCTCTGCAGTCTGCAGCGAGAAAACCGCGCGAGGTGTTGGGCTTGTCTCCGGAGTCGCCCATCGGCAAGTTCTTGGAGAACATCAAGGGAAAGACGCCCAAGGAGTCGAGTTGGGAAGGGAGGGGCTGAAAAATCAGGGAGAAAGCCTGGGATGGAAGGGCTCGAAGAAAGCTGGGTCTTGAGAGAGTTCAAGCGAGCGATCTTGAGATCTAAATGGATCATAATTTTAATCTAAGTCGTAGTAAGGAGAGAGTATACGGAGCGGTCATGTTTGAGACATTCTGAAGTTCTTCAGGTCGGATTGTAATGGTTGTGTTCTTTTTTCTCGGATTGATTAGAAGTTAGAAGATCATCTTCAGAGGAATCTGTCGCAACTCACGTTTCTCTGCTTGAAGTAACTGACGAAACCATGTGTCTCCGGTCGCCCAGAGACCATATGACCAACCCGCGAGAAAACACCGACGTTCCTCGCCTTTGGCGATGGTTCCACCGCTCCCATCCGGTTTCACCCACCCTATAGTGATCACCCCAAAAGAATCCGTGCATGATCATGTTGCTTGGACCGTACCGCAAAACAACTCACCGCCCCGTACCGCAGCGGACGGGATCATCCATCCGTCGTTCGGTCCCGGTCCCGGTGGTCTGGTCCTGCGTGGCCGTTCGAAGGAGGCGGGCTTGGCTTTGGTGGATGCCACCGACTTGCACTCCGCCTCGGAGGTGCGCACGTGCAAGTGCGGGCAAGTGCGGTCACATGGTGAGTGCGGTTAGGACCTGTATGAAGATGGTGAACATGGTGAGTGAAAGATGATGTGTTGTTCCAAATACTCGTAACTCCCAAAAGCAGAAAACCCATCCCTCTTGGCCAGACTGGTCTTCACCACTCACTCCCTGTAGACCACAACGGTCGATGGACTCCCCGGAGGCCAGCGCACGCGGCGGCCAAACCGCGGCGCCGGAGGCGGGCGACGGTTTTGGGGGGTTTGGAGGGGAGAAAAACGTGGTGGTGCTGAAGAGAGTACGTGGTTTCTATTCAAAGGGTCACTGCCATATGTTGTTCACAGTGAAGAAGTGCTCTATTAGAACAACCTCCAAGTGGGATTCTAAGATCTATAAGCTCCCTGGGAGTCAAAGACCATTAAAAAGAAGGGTCTATATTGTTATATGTACTAGATGTCTTTAGGCTTTAGGTGACCCGGAATTGGAGGAATTTTACACTTCAATCGGTGAAAAGATCTTTGAACTGGACTTCTAGGGTAAGGAGGGCGAAAGGAAGAAAGACATCTAAAATATCATCTCATTGCAAAGACCCGTTTGACATTTGATGTATGTTTTTCTCTAGGTGGACCTATATAAAAGCTTGGTGTCCCCATACATATGAACAAGAAGAAACAAGCAAGCAGATGCATTTCTAGAAGAGACCAGGATTGGTGGACGCAGCAAATCAACAAAGCTGTGATCCCAATGATCTCAGGGGATGCGACAATCACCTCAGGCAACAGCTGATGTGGATGCGCACTTCATTTGCTTCATCGAGTTCCTCTGGCCCTCTTTGCACGCGATACGGGGGGAAGTGCATCGGACGCCCATTGCCCCAGTAGCTGGGGAAGTAGCTAGCTTCCCTTTTTGTTGAACGGAACGATTCGGAGGTCATAGCTCGACTTGAGAGTGCCAGGGTGTCCAGGGGGGGGTTCGAAACTTGGCGCTGGTTGTTTGGTCTGACCCGTCGAATTGGCAGGTCTGAAACGTCTGTAACTGGCACGCCAATATCATCCAGCAAATCGTCCAGCTGGACGACGACTTCTGGGGAAAGCGTGTGTATGTTGTGTTTCTTTTCCGATCCAGTCGATGTTGGAACTCACGATCCCATCGAAAGGATCGCCTGCCAAAGTCGCGAAACGCTGCCAGGAAAGATGGAGATTTGTATGAGCTTGATGGCAACAAGGCAGGGGATGCCGAAAATGCTGCGCCCCGAGAAATTCAAAGTAGCAGGGAGTAGCAGAATCAACTTTGGGGCATCCTTGTCAGCCATGGCACTTCAGCGTGTAAAGAACCGTGGTCACTTATTAGTAAGGGACGGGGCATGAGGACAATGTGCGAAATTAAGCGACCTGACTGGGCTTTAAGGTTGTGTGAGCAGTTGTGTTGAGTAAGCAAAGTCTTGATTGATTATTGTGCTAAGGAACATACTAAGACCATGTTGTGGTGTGGTGCAGAAAGTTTGCCTTTATTTAAGTAAGTCTAGCCTAAGTCTAAGGACTTCATGTCCCTCGCGTGGTGTCTAAGATAAAACCGGGGTCGCATAGGCAAAGCTGAAGAACTCGTGTAAGCACCTCCGGAAAACGACCCTTTTCTCCAAACCATGACTTTCTACAGACCATTTATATACCAGCACCTTCAAAGGGGTCACCAATGGAAGCCCCTACACCACTAAAGGACCTCCATTGGACACCCCTTGAAGGTCCAGGTAGGCATTATAAACCCTTGTTGGACCCTGCAGCTGATCAACTGGTTGGACCGGAACAGGTTGAACGTGGAGAACCTGAACGTTCGACACCGTCTCTCCCACAACCCCTAAGACATCCCGGACCCGTGCGACGCCAGACGCGGAGACGGACGCGCGGGTTCGGCGCGGGTTTGGGCGCGGTTCGACGCGGAGACGCGAGGCCTTCCCGATCAATCACGGCCCCACGGCTGGGGATCTGCTGGCCGCGGCCGCGCAAGTGATCAAGGCGCCGCGCACGGTGCGCGCGCGAAGCTCCACAGAAAATCGGAGGACGTCGAAATTGTGTTCGAGTCGGGCACATGCAGTGGATGAGCATCTCTGTGCCTTGTGAGGCAGAGAGTTGGCTTCTCCGACCATGATATATTAATTGTAGGTTAGTTGGGTGACTTCAACAAACTACCAAAAGCCGTCGGCGGCATTTGTCATATCGTGGTGTTTGTGACGGAAGTGGACAACCCCGTGCTTGCCGATAGTCTTTTCAAGGGCCAGAACGATTGTTGGATATTGTTGTCGAGCCAATCGTCGACATGTCCGATTCAGCCTCACGACCGTTGGAATCGTGCGACGAAGCGTCGGTCGACCGTCCAGATCTGCTCCTCAGGAACGCCCGCTTTCCGCCGCGGGCCAATCCGCCGTCCAAAGTCGGATCTCAGCCGGATCTCGGTCAGTGGTCAGTGGCCGTCCTGTGAGGCCAAATTCATGGACCAGGATCCGGAGAGTGTTCATTTCAATATGCTTGGGACCTCAGGAGCGAGCGCGAGCGCTCGCACTCGCGGAGCGTTCGAGCTCGCGAGACGCGGCGCGCGTTGTCTTCCGCTGCGCGCTGTCTTCGGCTGCGCGGTGTCTTCGGCTGCGAGGCTCTCGAGGAGCCGCATGACATGGAGATGTTGAAGCTTGTGGGTTCACTGAGTTCACCTTTACTTCACTTCCCCCAGCCTGAGAGGTCCAAATTGGAACCAAAGACCCATCTCCTTTGGGCCCCACCCACGGTCGACGAGTTCGGCGCACCTCGGCCCAACTCGTCGGCCAGCGGCGTCCCGGACCTTCACCCGGACCCGGGTTCTGGGCGGGTTTTTGCACGGGCTGTTTCGGCTTTTGGGGATGTTGGGGGACAGGGTTTTTTTGGGGGGGGTTCGGTTTGGGGAAACATTTGAGCAAACAGGTCACCCGTAGCGACCAAGTGAAGATGAATGAATGGAGGCGATGGATGAATACTTGACCAAATGACGATGAAAAAGTCTATGATAGTTGTCCTTTTTGGAGTGAGGTTTACCCGCTGAACTCTGTGCAAAGCACAACACTTCAAGCATGGCATGCTTAGCCTAGGCCTGTTCTTCTCCTTTCACATTGTTTGTGGAAGACATGTCCTTTCTCCCACGTCGCCTCTCCGGAACCGTCGTCGCAGCACCGTCGTCGCAGGCGCTTCTGAGGCTGTTCTAACGCCCACTGTCCTAAGGCTGTGTAGCTGCGTAGCTTCCAGTTGCTAGTGACCCAGTTGCAGCACCAAGCCTATGTGGTGGCTGACACTGAAGAAGATGTTCTCATCCATCTGCCATCCATCTGTCGGGCAGAGCACGGCCTCTCACCGCAGCTCCGCTTCGCGGCCGCGATCACCCGCACTCGGACGATCACCCGCACTCAGGATGGCACTGGTCAAGAGCTGAACATGGTACAGCTGAAGAGCTCTTAGCGAGAGGAAAAAAAAGCGTCTTAGAGCTTCAGAGCTCTGTTCTGTCGGTGAAGAGTTGTTCTTGGGCATGATTGAGGCTATAGTCATGGGAGAAAGAGCCCCCAAAACAAGATGGGGTGCGTAGTTGAATAGGGAGGTCTCCAAACCATGCTCCAAGTAACTAACGGGTGTTTGGAATGTGTTTGATCTATCTTCCGAAGCGTCCAGATACATGGCGCCATATGCTTCACAAAGTATCCCAAGCAGCAGTTCCATCCCATCGGAGTGTTTTTGTCGGCCACGTTGAGTAGGGCCCCCCCCGCGTTCGTTTGGCACCCCTTACTTTATGGAACTGCTGACAGTTTCCATGCCGCCAGCTTGGGAACAGGAAAAAGTGAATCAAAAGCTCGGGAAGAGCCAAACTGCCAAAGATAGCCAGTGCAACCCATGTTCTCTAATGCCAGCCATACACACAACCCACCCGTGGCAGAAAACAAAGCGACGACAAAGCCAAAAAAACAAAAATGCAAACAGCAATAGAAAACCCATGGTTTCTCCGTTGTGTTTTGCTTTGCTCTTGTTTGCCTTTCCTTGTTCGTCTCATGTCTACTTGCTTTCCTTTTGCTTTGTGTCCTCATTTTGCTTTCTTGTTCCTTTGGCTGCCGTGGGCAACACAAGCCTTGAAATCGCAGCAGAGAGAGGTTCGAGGCTCATGCAGTTTTGGTGGGAGCGTTTCGTGAAACGTGGGAGCTAGCCCAGCTGTCTTGGGAGACGTGGCAGCACAGCTGACGCAGGACACAGAAAGACAAGGAAGAAGAACCATGCTTTGTAGAGTCATCGATTGCCAGTCTAGAGAGGAAGAAACAGAAATCAGTTGCATGAGTTGGAGAACAGTCCCTCGCAACATGATACTTCTGGAACTCAGCGGCATTTCTCTACTACCATCTTTGGCCAGAAGAATGCTCAAACAGTGAAGAATGCAGCAAATATGGTGGAGATGCACGAGATGCTCCCAAAAATAGCGGTGTAGTACAATAGGGCCTATATGCGCCTGGTTGTACGAAGGGCCCAAAAAAAGAACTCGGCAGTTTCTTTTCGACCGATGGTTCTCTTGGAACATCTCCCCCAGAAGTCCAGTGAATTCGACTAGTTTGCCCCAGTCTTCGCCACTGGGAGCCGTGTTGGAATCCGTGTTTGATGGTCGTCTTGGGGAAGCCGTGGTCGTCTTGGATTTCAGGTGGCCCAAAAATTTGGTGACTTCTGATGGTTGTGGACTTGCAGGATCTAAACATTCTGTCTACCCATGTCCGACCCGGGACACACCATATTTGGACACAAAATCTGGGGTCGTCGGGCTCCCTTGTTGTTCATTCCGCACGCGTGAGCGCGTACACACCCGCTTTCTGAGGTTTCTCTTCAATCCCAAACAGTTTGACCTTTTAGAAACCCATATACACTCCATGTATGAGTATATGATAGTATATGTATGCCAGTCCGGACTGCCTTCAAAACGGCCCTTCGGGGTGGATGATGAGTTCGAGGGTCGGGCGGCAGTCCGAACTGGCAGTCCCATGGGTGTATGGGAAATGGGAACCACCTGACCTGGTGGACGGGACCCAAGACGCGATGCTGGCCGAGCCGAGCCGTTCGGAGCAGACGAGGATTGGCCGTTCCCTGCCACGCGATGTCTGATAGCAAAGTCTTTTTAGGCGGGTGAAGACGGGAGTCTTCCCAGCAGTGCTTGTTTGCGTATCCGTTTTCCGAAAAGAGATCATGTTCAAAGAAGAAACCAGGAAAATAGAATGTGTTTTTTGACGTGTTCGATCATCATAATCTTTAATGCGTGAATCTCCAAACCCATCCAAACCCAAATTGCAGCACCGAAAATCCTTTTCCAGAAAGTGTGGGATTTTCCTGCACATCCCTTTTCGCCATGCAGGTTGTATTCCGAATCATGTCGATGAAGATGTGCTGAAGGAGGCGCGAAATCGTGACCGGAGGTGTCCGAGCGTCGCTTCATCAAGTCGATTTCAATCGATGTCAAGTCCTCGCAGGAATGCGAGAAGCAGGGGACCATCAAGGAATTCTTCTACTGCCAGGCCGGAGGTCGCTGGGGTTTGGAAGGTCGCAGGGTCACGTGCTGCCCACGATCTCGTCTCGACGTCAGGGACAATGGTGGCCCGATGTGTTGGGTGATTTGGTACGTACTTGCCGCATCTGAGTCGCTGGCTCGCATCGGTTCTTGGATGTAGCGCAAGAATCGTATGTCATCGTCAACTGCGGTGCATGGATGTGCAAATGCCGCTAAGGCGCGACAATGTGGCAGAGGTTACAACTTGGGTTAGCCAATGTTCATAGCCCTAAGATTCCAACAACCAGTGTTTTAATGGTCTGAATCCCAAAGAACCATTGTTTTACAAGGGATTTTTACGCTACACCACCAGGTCAATCATTTTTTGAATGGTCTTTGAAGGCTAGAGTAACTTAGCCAGTTTGGCCAACTACATCGCAACATCTTCACTGTTCATAGCAGGAGCCATACTTTGTGCGTGATGGGATGTGCTGGGCGGCCAGTTTCCTGCTTTGGGCGCACCGAAATCGGTTGTAAGGTGTGGGTATCGGTAGCGAATCTGCAGTGCCGAATGTTCTGTGTCACGCGAGCTCCTTTCAGATGGGCTTGGATTGCTCGGCAAGGCTGCAAGCTGAGTGTAAAACCACTTGCACAAATTTGCTCGTCACAAGAGTGTCCTGTTGTCCTGTCGCACGTCTTGAGTGTCCCGGGAGAGTGTAAGGCAAAAGCGCCCCACAGTCGAGTGTCGAGCAGTCGAGTGCCCCACGTCTCACTCTTCCATAGGAGTGTCGCACCATGTTGCATTCGGCTTCGTAGTGAAATTGCTCCCAGCAAGGTTCCTGAAAAAATCGTTCCTCATCTCCGTTACAGGACCAGGTGGGCACCGACAGAGGCTGGGCCTTTGTGACCTACGAGGCACCGTGGCACTGGTAGTCGTGTCCGAAGAGAAGTGGCATCGGTTTCGACAAATCCATAGAAAACGCCTAGAATCTAGCCTAGAAGTCCAGTTCAACATAGTTCAACCATTTTTGTCACCAAGTAAAGAAATTCCTGAACTCGGGTCACGTAAAGACCTTAACATGGTCTTGCACTCATGTGTGGAGCAAAACTCTTAGAACTCCGGAATGATGCCCATGGATGCCCACAAAAACTGCCGTCCTCGGCATTGGAAGGTGTGTTTTCGGCCCTATGGCCCCCATCGCCCTCCCTCCTCCCCACCTCCTCCGCACCGAGCCACTGGGGCAGTCGAGCTGGGCTCCGAGCGAAACGGAGCGCAGGATGAGACCGAAGCCGCCGTCGCTGTGGCGATGTTCAACGGGCAGCAGATCTTTCCAGGAAGTGCACGGCCTTTGCATTGTAAGCCCGGTGGCCTAAGTCATGGGTCTCAGGACCTCAGTCGTTTTCCGGAGTTGAGTTCAGGTGGTCGGTGGTTTGTTCTTTGTATTTCTTTGTTTCTCTGTGTTGTTTCTGTGTTTGGTTTAATTGGTAGACCCTGGTTTGGTGTCATGTCATCTTGAGAAATATCATGGCAAAATCACACAGACACATCAAAGGATCATATAGTCTTTGTGTCATGTGAGATTGGTCAAAATGATGGTAAAATTCGGATCCGAAAAGGGTTCACGGAGATCAACGGATCTTCAGATGGAGTTCCTCAAAGACCGGGGCGACCCGAGATGCTTGGATTGAAGAAGAAGACCCCGCTGTTGGAACATGTCGAGGACCGAAAAAAAAAAAAAAAAAAAAGTTAGACTCCCCGCCTTCGGTTTGACGATGAAAAGAACGAGAAGCACCTGGTTTTGGCCCTGCCTTCTTAGCTAAAGCAGCTAGCAGCTAGTTGTTAATTTTGACCATTCAGACCATTAGGGCAAAGCTTCGTGGCCTTCCTCGTGGCCTTCCTCGTGGCCTTGGGTTTTGGTTTAGACCGAGGTTCGCCAATGAGAAGATCACCAAAATCGAGGGCACCGTCTTCGAGGAGAGATGCCAAACGGATCCAAACGGAGAGCGGGCAAACGAGGTCGGTTCCGCTGCGTTTTGGCAGTCCAAAACTGGAAAAGGTTAGGTCATACGACCAAGCCGCTTCGACCGACTGAGGACCCCTGGTTTCAACTCGTGGTTTGTGTGGGATTGACCCATGGGGTAGAGGTTGGATGAAGGGATGGACCGGCGATTTTGGAAGAATGGAAGTGGCGATGCACTGCGAAGCCTCACTGCGGGCCCGGTGGGGTTCATTTTCTTGCACTTCACTTGAAGCTACTAGTAGCAAGTGCAACGCTAGTAGTAACAAGTGCATTGCTACTATAGTAATAATAGTAAATCTCTACTAGTAGCTTCTAGCTACTAGTAGCGATGCACCGTTTTCCTAGTGGTTCGATGTTGGATGTGTTGACATTGGGTCCATCTCATTTGCGCACCCAAACATCGTCCAGGATTGAGCGAAAGAGGAAGTAAGCTCCATCCAGCAGGGAGCATTAGTCTGAAAAAGAAGAAACAGCCCCATGTTCAGTCAGGCAGCCCCATGTGTTTCTCCATGTTTCTCACACCCACGTGTTCGGGTTTTCTTCCATGCAAACAGATCTTCAAGTTTCTGGCTAAATGAACCACCCCCATATGGGCCTGAAGCTGGGGTAGGTGGCCTCTTTCCGCATTCGACAGTAACTGACGCTCTTTCAAGCGCCAGGCTCCAACAAAGGCGGTGACTCCTTGGCAAGAGTTCACCACACCCGAGGGCAAGGCCTCCCCCGCTCGCTCGTGACCCGTGACCCGTGACCTTGCTCGGCGCGAAGTCCGCCGGCGAGTGATTTGGGGGCAGGAGGGTGGCACACGACAGCTTGTGCGAGCTGGTGAGGTCTTTCAAGGGGTGGTTACTGGACGCCTCTTGATCCCTAAGGGACTATTTATGAACACTCGGATTCCGTGGTCACGGTCGGGTCTGGGTCTAGAGACTCGCCTGCCCCTGGACACCGGTCGGACCCCACGTCCGTCACACACCGGGACACCGGGCACGCCGAAGCCGTGACGGACGTCCGTGACGAGACGGAACCAGATCACCGGTGATTGGAATCGCGGTGAGCGAAGCACGTTGGTCTTCTGCATATGCATCTCAGGTTCTTTAACCCCCATCCCGAAGAACCAAAACGTCATGCTCAAACCAAGCATGAAGAATTGCCGTTTAAGCATGCGGGGGTCATGGCCGCCATCCCGAAGAACCAGCTGCTTTTTTACACGACCAAAAGCAGATCGTTCGCGGTGGAAAAACCATGACCAGTTACCGGACATGGTCAGGGTGACTCCGCAGTCCTCCCTGGTGTCCGGAGATGGACCTCTCTGCATGTGAAAGAAGCATGACCGTACAACCCAACATGGATCTATGACAGTCGATCTATGGCACCTTTATATTGTTTTTGAGGCTACAATATGCCGTAAATTGTGACTGGCCTTTATGTGGCGATTAATTGAAAAAAAACAGATCAGCATGTTCTTCACCACCGCCCTACCCTTCGAAGAGAACGCATTCGAAGAGAAAATCAACACTCACACCTGCCACCTGTCGCACTGTCTCACGACCAGCCCTACTACTACAACAGCGTCACCAAAGAGACTCGATGGGAGAAGCCCGCGGAGCTGGGAGACCCAGTTTTTTCTTGGGAATATCCGAAAAAGGGAATCAATCAATTTCTTTTTTTTGAGGTGTTGTCGAATGAGGTCAGCTCCTAAGTAGCTATGGAAGGATATCATCTATATATATATATACAAGTGGCCGGGCTTCTTTTTGGAGGTCCTCAAGACTTTTTGGGCGCAGGTTCCTTCCTCCGTTCTCTTGGATGTTGGTTGAACGGAGACGCCGAAGGATCGGGTCGAAGAGGTGGCCTCGGCCGTCCCCGCCGAAGGATCGTGTCGTCGTTCAGTTTGGAACAGATGGGAAGGACCTGGAGACCTCCCCTGCCTGCGTGAGTCCAGTCCAACAGCTCGGTGCTGGCGACGCTACGAACGTAGCTGGCATTGACTAGGAACCAGGTTCGCGGCTCGAACGGAGCCTGCAACGGGCATCGCGACGCGAACGGAGCGATCGGACGCTACGAAACGGGGTTCCTGGCATCGCGACACGAACGGAGCATTATAGGAACAAGAAGCTGGTGGGCCCTGACTCCGCTTCTGGGTGCCACGGCCATGCGCGGCCCGACCCCGAGCGGTGTTTCCCGCGAGGCTTGGTGGACAGACCGCTTGGCCCTCGGGGAAGGAATGGATGTGCTTGAATGTCTCAAGTTGAATCTGGGACAAGTTGGGTATACCGAAATCGAACCACCCTTTAGGCGGCCTGAATCCCGATGAACCGAGCTGTTTTACTAAGGAATACTTGCACTAGATCAACCATTTTAAGGATGGTATTCGACTTCCAGGGATATGATATATATATATATATTGCAAGTGTTTAGAAGATCCTAGAAGTCCAGTTCGACTATATGTTGCCCCCCAAGTAAAGGAAACTCCTCAACTCAAGTCTGCCAGGTATGGGTATTGGGTCGTACCGTTCCGGGTCACCTGGAAGGACATCCCAATACTAGCCTAGGTCGAACACCACGCGCTGTCGGAAGCGCTGTCGGTATGTCTTAAGACGAAACGCGTTCAACACGATCACGAAACGCATGACCTCGCTGCGCTGGGCTCCGCCGGCTCAGCGCACCGAGCGAGGCACCTGGAGCGCCCTCCTTACCAGCTGCAGGTGGGACCACCGAACCGCGTTCCACGGGTGAAGAACGCCCACAGAGCGTGTGCACAGAACGAGAGCGGAACGAGTTCCCGCAGAGTGAAGAGTGATCTCCAAAGGTTCACCATTTGAGGGGAGCTGCGCTTTTCACCTGGTGGAAAAGGGCTTTTGGGAACTTCTACTAGGGTGGAGGCCATTGCTCTTAGGTTGGAGGCCATCGCTAGTAGGTTAGAGGCCATTGCTATTAGGTTGGAGGTTTACTTCCATCTTCAAAAAAAGACATGGATTTAGCCTTCAAGCTCGCTAGGTTCCTGTCACCAGGAAAACGCACGGCCGCAATGATGTCGTTGGTTCGTGATGTCGTTCTTCAGGAAGTGGCACCACTGGACAGCTGGCGCTCACTCAGGTGAGCGCATCGGTACTGATGGGTTGGCGCCTTCAGCACCACCTGACACAGTGAAACAGTTCCCGATGTTTCAGGTATACTTCCTAATCTCAATTATAATCAATTATACAATTGATGTCCTTCCCTGGTTTCGTCCAGTCGAAGTCCGTTTTTTTCCGGTCTGACTGACGAACGGTGATCCGAGTGAAAAGGAACTTCCTGAACACTTGGGTGGTGCCAAAAATAGTCTTTAGACTTCTAGGGTATTGGAACAACCAGAAGTGTTTCTGGTTAGGACAGTAGGGAAACCCAGGCAGTGCAAAGATGTTGCAAATCAACGTAGGCACACAGACCCCCTTTGTCTAACCAACTTCTGAAAAGATGGTTGGAGCCCTCGGGAAGAATCATCCAGTATGGATAGTTGTGGCCAAGTATGGCTGTGTTCTTGTGTGCTTTTGCACTCAAAAGTGACTGGAAGAACACTTGCATTCCGAAGGTGTCTTCCTTCCGAGGGATCCAGAGGTTGCACCTAGACCTCCGCCTCCAGACCTAGACCGCTAAAACACCTGGACTCTTCAACCGAGCCGGCTGGCTCAGCTGGCTGCATCTTTTGAAGAGCAGAAACCACCTACTGTAGACTCTTGAGTAATAAACCATCCCATTTGGATGCACTCAGTTCTCTTCATGTGGGGGTATGATGAACAGGACCAGAGCGGCTTCCCCCCACCCAAACTCGTGCGAGACCGGCCACTCTCCAGCCCAGACGCCCAGACGCCCCGACGCCACGCCCAGTCCGCTGTGCAGACGGTTGCGACTTCTGCACCGCAGGCAGCGTTGCCCGCGATGCAAGGAGGCAATGGACCACCAGGCGACCCGGATCTGCGTGCGATCATCGCTAGTAGGTTGGAGGTCATTGCTCTTAGGAGCCCATCGCTAGTAGGTTGGAGGCAATTGCTACTAGGGTGGAGGTCATGGCTCTTAGGTTGGAGGCCATCGCTAGTAGGTTGGGGCCATTGCTACTCGAAGGCTTCAAGGGGCAATATGCATGCATGATCATGCATGTGTTGTTTTGTTTCCCTTCTTTTCATTTTTTTGAACTGAGGACAGTTTTGGGGGTAAGGTCCAAGATCTGAACTTTGGCTCGAAAGAATTGGATTGAAGAGCCATGGAAGTCGAACCAGCATTGTTTTGATAGCCTTTACCGAACAACTCATTTTTCACTAAGGGTTTTACACTACAAAACCAGATCAACCATTTTAAATTCGGTCTTTGACTTCCAGGGCAGTATCAACGTTGGACTGTTGGGAACCGACCGCACAAATCACCATGCCATCCGCGTGAGATGGATGGCAGGTCCGTTCGGAGACATCGTACGCAGCAAATCGCAGTGGACGCAGTACAGAAAAAGACGCTGGTGTGCTTTTCGCTCTTGTGCGGATACAGGAGCTAACATCTTTGTCTTCCACGTGCCAATCAATTGGACGGATGACGACTTCAATGCGCACTTCTCTCCGTGCTGCTGACCTGCTTAAAACTCGCCCATTTCAAGACAAAGACCCCCGAGTCTCTCAAGCCCTTGGCTGGGTAGATCGGTACGCCTGGGAGCTGCAGTCTCCGGACCGCCAGTGAAGGAGGGACGGATCGGATATCGGACGGGTCACGGTCGAACGACCGTCGCGCGCGCCGGTTCCGGCGCGCAGTGACTGCCTGCGCTGGTGAGGTTCGGTCAGATTGTCTCTGCAAAGATTCATGTGGACCCAGTGACCAAGGCCGGAAGTCGCACAACTCATGTTGATCACCGCAGCGTTGTGGGATATTTGGTTAGATCACTCGTCCCCCGTGGATTCCCGGGTGTGCCAGTCCTTCCCAACTAGAAAGAAATGTATGCTTCCACAGTCCCGGCCATTTCCTATGTCAGATTTCAAACTGGAGCCATATTGGAACAACCAGAGCTGTTTTTTGGTTGGGACTTCCAGGTTGGAAAAGCTAGTTTCCTGCAGAGGAGGATCGTGTAGGTGGAGGACCAGCGGACCAGCTACAGACAGGGTACTGTACAAGACTTTTTTGTATATATCGTTTACCATTTAATATGTCACACTGTCACACTCAAATGGAAAAGAATGATGCTCAGGTCAATAATTGTATGCTTTAGAGTGTCGTGATTTGTCACTCAGCTGGTCCCTCGCGATCGAGGCCTCGAAAGGCTTCGGTTTTTGCTCCTATGCTACGACGCAAGCTGCGACCATGGCCATCAAAGGAATGAATGGTAACTCGGCTGATGGACGTTGGTTTGTCGAAAAAACGATCTGAGAGTCCAAGTCTCATTTTACCCCAAACTGGTCGTGGTGGATTTTGACTACCAGGTGTCTTTCACAGCGCTGAAGAGATTTGGAGTCGTCGGCGCTCTCGTCTTCGAGCGCTGCAAGCGGAGAGCGATCTTCAAGCGCGAAACTCCACGCAAATTGCTATTCCTGATGGGATCCTTGAGCCCGACCTCTTCGCAAAAATGGTGAGTTGCCCTCTAGTTCGCCAAGATAAACCGACCCCACCCCGAGGTGGTGGTTCAGAACGGAAACCCGATGTCTCAACCAGAAACAGTTCTGGTAGTTGTTCCGGCGCCCAAGTGAGATCCAGAAACATAGATTACAAATGATCACAATAGGAAGTGGCGTTTTGACCGAGGAGTTCCATCCAGACGTGTTTTTTGGGTGGAGTGTCAGCGGGTGTTCACCATGGGCTTCACCCAGTCTTCCGAACTCATCTTCGCCGTCACCAAGGCTTTGACACGAAGCAAGGCAAGTTCCTGAAAGTCACCATCAAGAAAGGAGAGGAGCAGTGCCCCGAGCAGGGAAGCAACCGGTAGAGATCGGACCTATGACCGAAAATGAACAGACTGGACTACTCCAGTCTGTTCAACCCAGACCCGGGCTTTGGAGGCTCTAGGCGTGCACTGAGACCCGGAGTGGATCTGGTTTTGACCTCCGAGTCCACACAACCCGACCTTCGTGGCTTGGACCTGTCGCTTTTCCGGATGGATTCGTCGACGCCCTCGGGCGACGATGGACGGCAGGTACAATCCAGATGCTGTCTCAGCGCAAAATATTCCTGCAGACGCCTCAGAGATGTCAAACCGGGCCAAAAGGGCGCACACGGTTGTAGCTTTGTTGATTCGCTCTGGTGGGGGCCGGACTTCATCGGACTAGCTTGGGTTTCCCCAGTCTCAAGGCGAGTTTCGGTTCTGGATGTCCACAAAGAACCAGAACTGTTTCTGGTACCAACTGACATGTTTCTTGGTCCGAAAGCCCCCCCGCAAAGATGTTGCTGAGGTCCAGACGGGCGGCTCAACGACACCTGCAATTGTGGGCCTCGTGCTGAGAAAAAAGCGACACATCTGCTCGCATCGTCGCCTGTTTTTTCAGCACCCGTCGTCGCCACTAGGATTCGGAATCATCTCAGAATGGAGCCCCCAAAACCCTACCAGAAGATGAAGGCAGTGGCCGAGGCCATCACTAGTAAGTTGGAGGCCATCGCTAGTAGCTTGGAGGCGTCTGCTCTTAGAGCTTCCATCAATGTCCCTCTCGTCCGACGATGAAACGCGTGTGACGCTTCGGAACCCTGACGTCCGACGTGGCACCAGGGCAGGATGGCCGCTGGCAGGTAGTCCTGACGTCCGGTGGTTTCCACCTGTCCACGTGGTCGGCCTGTTGGAGCAACCCCCCTGACTCTTCACTCCAACTGGTCTCCTACGTTGGTTCTTTGACCTCCTCCCACCGGTCTGTCGTTCGACCGGGATCGTCGACGGCCGAAGGTGTGCAACCCACGGTGGCGATGGGCGTGGACTCCTCCACCCTGGCGCAAGCTGCTTCGAAGGGTCATCTCGTGAAGGCGCGCGGTGTGGGGGGGGTTGCGGTGTTGGGAGGTGAGCATCCAGCTGCGCTGGGGTTCCCAGTGGTTCCAGGCACCGACTTCAACCATTGGACCAAACCGAGGGGCACCTAGATCCAGGGATCCACTTGACCTGCGAGGTGGGTCAAGACAGCGGGGAGCGCAGTACGTCGGCAGTTCTGGCGCCCTTGTTGGCGGAGCTTTTGTGGAGCACGACCAAGCAGGCCAGTTAGGTGGTCCTTTGTGGCCACCTCGTCATGTCCAATGTTTGGGACCCTTCACCTCAAAACGCGAAAAAAACGACACCATCACTGCTCCCCTTCAGGATCCGGCCTCTCCAAAACAAGGGCGACCTGAGGGACCCCAAGCTGCTGTTCTCGAGGGTTCAACCTAGTAGCGATGGCCTCCAACCTAAGAGATGGCCTCCAACCTAACAGCGATGCCTCCAACCTAACAAAGATAGCCTCCAACCTAGTAGCGATGGCCTCCACCCTGGTAGCGATGACCTCCAAACTAACAGCGATGGCCTCCAACCTAGTAGCGATGGTCTCATGGTCTCCAACCTAACAGCGATGACCTCCAACCTAATAGCGATGGCCTCCAACCTAGTAGCTTCTTGCTATCATGAACCATAATGAACCCGGTGCCCTGCTGGAGTCCTGCTGGGCGGGGGTGCAGATGGTGAAGATGGTGAAGTGCTGAGGCCAATCCAACTCAACCACCTGCACCTTTGGCCCTCCCCGGTGGACCTCCGTCCGGATCTCAGTCGTTTCCATTCGATGATTCGAGTGTTCGCTGAACTGAGCAGGAGTCATGAGTCCGAGTTCTGCCAGGGTCAACGTGGCAAGAATCCAAGGTCAGAGAACAAGAGGTGTTCTTGCGCCAATGAATATGTTCTACTCTTCTGTTTAAACTAGAAACGTTCATTGGAAGGGCTGCTGGTCAGCAACCCTTTGAACCAGTCTAATTTTGTTTAACAACAAATGTTGATTGAAACCTTACTTTGTTGAGTTTTCCAAACACCAATTTCATAATACATGTGGCGTGGATTACGTTTGCGCGTGTTTGCCAACAAGTTGAGGTGTTCTGCCAAGGTTGTTCAATCGTTATGATCTGTTTTTTGAATATTATATATATATATGTCTAAAAGATGTTTATTTTGTGCCGCCCTGTCCCCAGGCATAACTTACCAACTTTAGACTTGCATGAGTCCCTCATTCCCTCATTCCTGACTAAAGTCTGGCCAGATAATCATATATATATATACACTATCATCATGATTCATCAAATATCATATGTGTATGTTTTCTTGCCAAGGAAAGTTCCAGGACCATCAAATGGGTGTCCAATGGACTACCCTACACTGCTTGGGGATCTCCATTGGACACCCATTGGATGGTACAGGTTGGTTGCTGGCACCAATACACCACCAAATGTTCCAGGCATCCATGCCATTCCATTGCCCCACCAAAAAGACCCATCGGCTGCCAATGATTTTCTGTCGAACTCAGCTGGAAAACTGCACCTTTGCTTGGAGAACTCAGTTCTTTTCTGCCAGAACTCAGGCAATGAATCGGAGCTCACCTCCACGCCAGAAAAGACCTGCGGCGAGTGAGTGGGTGGGTGACCAGGGTGTGTTGGACACAGTTGTCCGAACATGAACCGACCCAAGCTCTAGATAGCTCTAGAAGGTGAACCTGCAGAGCCTCTGCTCCAGGTTTTGACTCGATCCCCCCGGGGCGGAGGGGCAGCGAACGGTTCACGCGGCGGCGCGCGGGGGTAAGGTCCGAGCAAGTCCGAATCGGGTCACCCAGATTCGGGTTTAAACCTTTTCTTTTAAATAGTCTTCCTGAACTTCCAGGGTATTGTATATAATATAAGTTATATATACTTATACAATCTTATACGTACAATCTTATATATTCTAATATTTTGTTTACTAGCTATTATTCTATACTATACTTGCATTTTAATGCCCTTGTAATGAACTCGTCCTTGTACCAGCTTCTTCAGTTCGTGACCTTTTTGGAGTCCCGGCTTGTCTCAGTATGTCTCAGTCCGGGCACCACCAGGCAGGTTGCAGCACCCAAACGAACGATGGTGCTGGAAGAAGCGACCGCGTCATGGCTCGAGTGGATCGCTTCGCCGCGGCCGGAGTAACCGAGGATCGCCGCGGCCGGGGCCTGGTCAGGTGGCGCCGGAAGTCAGATGTCACCGGAGTCTTGCTACGAACGTAACAAGGGCACGAAAAGAACGTAAGAAGTGCATCGCTACGAACATGGCTTATTTTTGTTCATTTCTAGTAATTAATGCCCTTGTTAATTACTACCCCTCACTAACAAGTTCAGATGATCCGAGAAATCAGGATTCCACCATGTGTGGTCCACTAGACGTCGCGACCTGCGCCGGCGAAGCCAAGGTATAGGGAGACCGAGAAACAAGCATCCGCCAAGCAATGGGTAGACTGAGATGTTTTCGACGACGAAAGAGGTCAAAAAAAGGGGGTCTCCCTGTATCAATGCACGTACCCATAGTATGATCCATCATCTGCTGTTACTGATATACCCAAGATTGCCAAGGCAGGTGTGAGATAGTTTGCCTTTGCGAGGACACCATTGAGACCGTCCTAGAGAAAAGCCTCGGGCCGACGGGTGCATTAAAAAAAAAAAAAAAACGACATCATTCAGGTCGTTCAGAGCAGCCCCAAAACAGCCCGTCGTCCCCAAAACAGCCCTGGGAGATCACGAACCGGACTAGCCTCATCCAAAAGATTCACCACTCCTGTTTCTTCCGGAATGCTTCACCAGCCAGGCCGATGGCGTTCAGGAGCGCCCGCCTTGGCGGTCTCCGGGGGTGGCCCCTTTCCTCAGGGCGTGGCGCCGAGGGCAGGGTGGCCACCATGCCACGCACGGAAGACGCCGGGGGACCACCTTCAGTTCACACGTGTTCCGGGCGCAACGCGGACGTTGGAACTCTGGAGGTGTGCTTGAACCGCGGAACCGGGTGACTCCTGTGCTGTTTCTCAACCGACACCGATGGACCCCTTGGTCCGCCACGACTGCGCCGAGCGTTCTTTTCTCGATTTGACCGTCTTGGAGTTCAGCAATACATCAAACATCTTCACCATCCATTCACGCCATGTGCTTCACACCATGTTGCAAAACCACCCATGCCATGTCATGAGATGTCATGCCCCATGTATGTCCATGTTGTTCAATACCCATTGCAATCCCTCCTTTTCATCCTCAACGTCACGCCACGGCGGCCGGTCACGCCATGTGACGCCGACTCTGCGGACCGACCCGTGGCGCGGGACCAACCCGATGCAGCGGTGTCAATGTGCGACCTGGTGTGAGGGAAGCCCTTGGGAATCGGTACACCTGTAGTAACCGAGGTTCGCGACGAACGGGGTTCCTGGCATCGCTACGAACGGAGCAAGGACGCTACTAGGGGCTCCTGGCCTTACTACTAGGAACAAGAAGCTACTAGGGGCTCCTGGCATCGCTACGGGCTCCTGGCCTTACTACTAGGAGCAAGCAGCTACTAGTAACAAGAAGCTACGACCGTAGGTCTTGGAAGCTACGACCGTAACAAGAAGCTATACTAGGAGCGTTTTACGCTTCGGGAATCGTATGCAGTTTTGGTCGAAATCCTTTGCAGACCATCCCAGTCGAGCTGGGTGTCGTGGCGTGAAAAAACTACCCGACTCGCCCACTACTATCCGGGATCGAACACACCTGGACACCCAAATGGTCGGATGGTGGTATGATGTTCCTTCCTGGGAAGGATTTGTGTGGCTCCATTGGGTTTCCCCCTGCAAAAATAGGCATCGTTGTTAGATATGTGGGATGAAATACAAATGGAGCTTTCCGTTCGACCCAACCAATCCAAGGTGGTGCTCTTGCTGTCCACAGGCGCGACCAACCGACCCTGGACGAGCTTTCTTCACCCCTTAAGAGTGGTGAACAAAAACGTGACAAAACACACAACCCAATCCAAAAGAACCGTGTGTTGCGAACCGGGCCTGGAAGGAAAAGGAAGTTCCCATGACGGATTCTTGAAAGACCGGGATTTCTTTGGAAGAACCTGGTGGTGGCCTTCTGCTGGGATTGGACGGCTTGTTGATGGTTTTGGTTGGACGTTTTGTTGACGAATAGTTTTTGAGTGAGGTTGCTCAGCCAGTGAGGGGGTTGCAACAATTCCAGCTAACTGGCCCGGCTTTTTTTGTGATGCCCAGCCGTTTGAACATTCTTTTGACACGTCGTGTGCCACGTGTCGTGTTGTTGCGCACGTGACAGGCACAATCCTCTTAATGCTCACACAGATCGAGCTCCTGCCACAGATGGAGTTCCAGAGGTATTTGAAGCTCATCCATCCAGGAATCACCGCTCTTCAATCGGACAATCCATCTGCTTCTACTACTTCAAGAATCACAGCGGCTGTAGATGTGGTTTCTTCTGGGACTGTCTTCACCAATGCCAAAGCTGAGGTGGATGGAACACAGGCGCAGACAGGAGCAAGAGATGCTGCTGACAAGGCAGTGAAGGACACAAAATTGGAGTCTTTGACCATGCGACTGCAGCGGCATTCTGGTTTGTATCTTGACAAATCTTATG